ATATGTTTTGTCAGCTCGTTTTTCTTTGAAAAATAAGTGACCTTCCACTAAACGTTTCTGTCTTCCTTTTTCGCTCGTGACGAACTGAAGGCCATGAAGGTTGATGAAGATTCGTAACTAAAGTATCACACTCGAAGAACTTTTTGAAACTGACCTCTCTGAAATTTCTGAGGTTTTTTTTCAGAAATGAAGCATGGTAATTATTATGCTCATTAACATAAGCTTTAAAGTATTCTATTTCGAAATAAACGCGAGATAAATTTGTTTTACTGTGAGTACGTAATATTGCGATAATTATTCTGCTCATTAGCATAATCTTTCAAATATGTTATTTCTAAATAATATTGTTTTATAATCATCATAAATAAATCATTGGCGATCAATGTAGAACCGGTGAATTTTCCTTTCGACGAATTGCGGGTTGGTGAATTTACAAGTCGGTGAATTGCTGTCGCTGAACTTTCCGGATTTTCCGGACACCCCTAATAATCTTCCGATTAGTCGAGAAAATCCTCAACAGAGTGGGAAAACTCAGTGTTACAAGACAGATTCCCTAAGAAAACGAGATACAGTAAATGATTGGATTATGATCAGCGAGAATGTTGCAAACATTCACAACAGAAACAGAAAATATCCATTAATTATTACTGCGGAACAAACGCATAAAATTATCTGCCAGAAAGCTTTGCCACGCACCTGTTCCTCGACGATGACGAGGTTCTTTTCAGGAAATCCAAAACTGGCCAACATCTTCGGAACGTAGTAATATCCGACACCGTGGATAGCAGAATATGTCATTTTAAAGGAGGCCTTCTCGTTTAAGTTCCTGAAAACTGCATATTGAAGGAACGGCATAATAATCAATACTGAAGAAACATGTGCAAAAAACACTGGAATTCACAAAAAAAGTCATATGACTTTAATATTAATACAAAGGAAGATCAATAGGTAGAGCGTCAGACTCGCCGTCGAAAGATAATCATTTCGAATCTTAGGCATGGGCCATCGGTCTGACAAATTCACAAGGATATTAAGGTCAATCGCCGTGAAAAAGAAACAGTAATGATTCTTCCATTCATTTGCAAAGACCGCTATTCCTTTCGGGTCGCCGCTGGGGCATCTGCTAAGGAAATCTTTACATTTATTCAGGTTCACCGTCAAACGCCAGAAGGTTCTACATATAACCACCTTGGGTTGCATTTGTGCCCTCCCAGTTAACTTCGTTAGCATCATACAAGACTGTGAGCTCTTTGTTATACCTTTGCGGCTAATCTATGTGAGCATATACGAGGGGAAAACCGTAGCAGACCTTATCGAAAGAACCGCTGTGTCTAAAGCTGGAACGCCACCGATGTCGACCCGTGGTAACAACGATGAAATATGGCAATTCGAAAGTGCACTGGTCGCCTTAAGCTGTCATCGCTTTGAAGGAAATGTAATGGTATTGTACGAAATATGCTACAAGCCTGTACTGAGAAAACCTACCGACAAAAACAATATTTCTGACTATCTTTAACGTAGCTATCAAAGACGTCCTGCAGGGGGTCGACGCAGCATTCGCGCTGACGGACTTTGGACAAGTCCCAGTTCTCAGGTCGAGGTTCCAATTCGTCCAATATTGCCTGAGTGATTTTCATGTCATGAGGATTGATTATCTTCAAAGTTATCCTCACATTAGAGCATTGTGCAAGATCATCATCGACTCACCTGAGCAGCATCACTCCAAAAAACCTTAACAGAAATCCAGATAATACATCAGCTATGAAATGAGATCACTAACAATACCTTATAGCCATTGTCTTTCTTTGGGTTATGGGAAGCAGTCACCATGACGCCGCCAACAGCACCGTACTTCTTCACAGCGTAAGACTAAAATAGGATTAATAAACATAATAGACTGTTAAAAATTAAACTATTCACAACGGTATAAAATAATCAGCACAATAATAAAACCTTGAAAGTATCATCACACAGCTTACACATTTTTTTAAAGCGAAAGAAAAATAAATGCATAAATACACAGTTAGATCTAAATGTAATAATCTCCGGATTTACAAGGTACAGTCGCACTGTCTCTGCTTCCAGTAGCTCAGTTGACGGCCAAAAAAGGGGCTCCATTGTATTTTGCTACCTGCAGTGCACGGATGCAAACTGATTAAAAACAATCAATCATTTCAGTTTCGATGGCCGCTTATCCTTTCGGGTCGCGGAGGAAGTTACGTCACACAGAGTTTCCTCGTCATAGCATAGAGTAGACTTCGTCAAGACACTTTCTCCAGGTCGCTGTTGTTGGCCGTCTTCCAGGGTCTTTCAGTCGGTTAAGCAACTAGTAGCTGTTTCCCTTTCAATTCTGGAAACATTTGCCATTTGTGGCCAAGCCACCTGTTACTTCCCAAGTTTGGGTGTAGAAGCAGCTGCACACCGAAGGTACCTCAGACATCTGTACTACAGACCATATCGAGACGTGTGAGCTAAGCGATTCGCCTCAGAAAACCCATTTCAACAACTTGTACTAGGAATGGAAGATTTTCAGTCATGGTAAACGACTCGTCACCATCGGTGAACATGAAGACGAAGATGGAATTGAATCCAGACAGCTTAATCTTCATACTCAGGTCTGTCTTAGGAACAATGATCCGAGTTAATTTATGTAAAATGCCACTG